AATCTCCTAGAGTCCTGCCTTTCCTTCTACGAGTGAGGAGAAAGGCTTGGCTCTGAATTATGAATGAATGGATTCTGTAAACATTGTACAGTTCATCCGTTAAAAACCTAGGAATCACCATAGACGAAAACCTCTCCTGGAAACCCCATATTGCCCTCATCTCCCGTAAGTCAATAGGTACCATTAAGCTATTTCATCGCTCCCGCCACCTACTCCCACAACCCATCCGCAAGCTCCTTGTATCCTCTCTCATTTTCCCCCACTTTGACTACGGCTGTGTGGTGTACGGAGGCATCCCGATGGTACTCGAGGATAGATTGAAGCGACTCATGAATACGTGCTTAAGATTTGTCTTCGGTACATCAAAGCGATCTCATGTGTCCCACCTTTACGACGAGTTAAAGTGGCTCTTCCCTTCTTTCCGCAGACAATATTTCCTCGGATCTTTCCTATTCCAAACAATCAACACTAGACACCCTTCTTACATCTACAGTCTCCTACAGTTTAAACCCGTGGTCCACTCCCAGAAAACAAGATCCCGTGTTTCCGACCTTTATATCCCTTCCCATAGAACTAAGACGTTTGAATATTCCTTTATTTCCCGATCCACTGCCTTCTGGAATTCCTTGCCATCTGAAATCCGTCATGCCTCTTCCTTGTCCTCATTTAAATATCATCTTTACCAATTCCTTCTCACATCCCAAAATGACGTTATACAATAAAATAAATATTGTGAAACAGATTTTGACTGAGGTGAATGATTGATAAAATTTATTGTCTTAATTTTAAAAATCAACCCATGCTTATTTTATTTTATTTTTATTTTCATTTAAATAATGTTTTTTTTTTATTTCGTTTTTTCTCAAAATTTTATTTTATTTTTACTTGTTTTAACTTAATTTCACTGAAGATACTGTATATATTCTTTAATATTGATTAATGTAATGTTTGGCCAGATGTAGTTTTAATTTTTTTGTTCATATCTGTTATTCATAAGGGACCTCGTCCCAGAATAAAGTTTACTTTCTATCTATCTATCTATCTATAGTATGCATGTGTTTTAGTTGTTATTTTTTTATATATATATTTACTTTTATTTATTTTGCTCTCTGAACACTATTATAAATGTCCTTAATTGTGACAGATTGTAATAGTAATATTTCTTTTAAAAAAAAAAAATATATATATATATATATATATATATATATATATATATATATTAATTTCTTATTGTTATCTGAATTTCGCACTTCCATAGTGAATTTCTAGAATTACTCACCTACCTCAACTAGTATCACAATATCCTGTTAATTTTTTAGTACTGTATGATTGCCTTTGTCAAATTGTAGTGCCTTTCTAATTATTCTATTCCTGCTAATATCGTGCATCCTTTTGTGATATGCTGAATGGACTCTATTGTTCCTTGGACTCTATCAGCAATATCTTGTTTAAATTGAGTTTTATAAAAGTATTTTTTAAAGTAACGTTGAAGTGTTGTTAGAGGAAGGACTATGCATACAGCACTTAAGATTTAAGGAGCGTTACTTCTCACACTCTCCTTAGCCAATGGCTGACAGGTGTTGAAATAGGGCCCTGGCGTGCTTCGGTTGACGAGCCAATGGACCAGCTGTTTCCCCTTGATATATAATACATTACGCCTCTCCCCCCCCCCTCCCGTCCAAACCCATCATTTAGGGGATGATCCACAATTTGGCAAGCCGTTCATCACACATGCTCCTCCATCACCCCATCTCCTTCAACCAAATAGGGATCATGTGAAGCTTACCTTACCGTTAGCTTTTAAGGCTTTAGTGTTCTCCAATAATGGCTACTTCACTGCGTATATTCACTTCTTGAATGTCATTATACATATATATATATATATTTTCAACTTTTCCTTAATCGACCTTTGGGTATTAAATTTAAACATAACTATTTAAATGGGAATAACGTCACTTATTAATTATTTAATAAATTACTGAATGTTCATTTCCTCAATGTTTATTGACGTTTCGATCCCGGTACTTTCTTTTCATAAGTCAACCATGGGATCCTCTTCAAAGCTAGAATTTTAAAAAATAGAGCTTCGATCAGGCCAGGGACCTGGGAAGGCCAAAAAGCAGATGGATAGATAGAATCAACAAAGATGCAACAGATCTGTGAGCAGATAAATGGAAAGAACAGCGTAGAGATCGAGCAGACTTGTTAAGGTGGCGAAAGATCTACATGGTCTGTAATTCCAACAGAAAAAACAAACAAAAAGAACTAGGTTTATTACCGTAAAAGGAATTTTTTTCTCTCTCTTTATGAGTATTAAAATTCTGAAAATAAACTTTCAGATGTACAATTTAATAAATTAAGGATGTACAATAGGGTAACGAAAAATACTTTTTTTCGGCCAACAGCTTTCTACAGTTGACTTTTTATTTCAAAAATACATATTCTTCTAAAAAAAAAACTTATATTTATACTCCATCTATTTCTAGATGAAATTAATTAACAATGGAATGTAAATTGATAACAAAGTATATATTTTTTTTTCTATGTATTGATGATATTTACAACTGTATTACAAGTAAAAATACATTTAGTAAATGTGAACAAAAGAATATAAAAGCATGAAATCATTTGTTGATAAACTACCCACTGGTAGCACTCTAAAAATGTATTTACAAAAAGAGATCTCGAGGCCATCTTCTTTTCAGACGCCTCGGAGGGTTGTTTTTCAGTAAAATTTAATAAATTTTGAATTGTGTTGTTTTCTAATTTCAGATTTTAGTTTGTTAGTCAGTTGGGTATAGTGAGTTTTATCTGTTGGATATCTGGTTCTATGCCACTTCGATCTTGCTCTGCGTTTTTCCTTCAATAAGATACGAATATGCTGTGGTAAGGCAGTCTTCTGTGAATTGTTGAACTTATTGATAAAAGTGTTATTATTTATACTGTCTGTTGTTGTCAGTTTTTCAATGGCACCATTAATGCCCTCTTTTGTCTTTAGCGGAATGATTAAGTCTAGTTTGTTTTCCAAATCATCACGAAATTGGTCCCAGTTCACTCGTCCTGTGATCAATTAGGAGGTGATGGTTTAGGAGCATAGCTCGAATGTAGTGAAAGTAGAACTGGACTATGGTCTGAAGAAAGGTCATCAAGGGATTTGATTATGGTTTGTGAGGAGGAGATCTGGGAAGTTATAAATATATCTAGGATATCGGGACGTTTTTTGAAGGATGTTGGCCAATAAGTAGGACTCATGGGTGAAAGGATTGAATAATTGTTGGAAGATGTTACCGCGGGGGTTGGATGTTCGACAACCCCATCGTTGGTGTTTAGCATTGTAGTCTCCTCCAGCAATGAAGAGCGATCCGAGGGATTTGAATAAGGAATCAAGGAGGTTATAGGAGAGGGAATTACCAGGAGGACAGTATACAGCTGAAATATATATTTAAATAAATTTATTAGACTTTATACACAAATTGTAAGTAAACAAAATGTATACTAAACTACTTTAGATTTATGTTTTTAACAACCATGTAATAATAAGAGATACAACATTAAATTGAAGGTTATTGCTATTAAATAACCAATAATATTTAACACAATTGTAAATCAAAGATAAAAAATGTAAAAAACCATTAATTTTTCTGTCTTATGTTTCATTATAATGTAATAAAAAATAAAACTTGGTAACTGTTGTAGACGACACTAGGGTGCTACTTAGAATTTTCTAAAATAAATAATTTTACTAAACGAAAAAAAATCTATTCTATAAAATTCAACTATTTAGTTGTTCAACGTGGAGAGTTCTAATTACATAAAATTTAGATAAAATTGTGGCCACTAGACTTCCTTAAAATATTATTTTATATTAATAATATTAATTAGTTAAGAATATTCTAATTATTTTTTCTAACGTTTTGAATAATTTTACTCTTCATCAGAATTAATTAATTAACAATGTCCATCTTAATTCATTCTTATTACATTAAAATATTAAGCAGTGTTATGTTTTATTGCTGCAGAATTAATTTTTTTTTATTATCCCCTTCCTTCACTATTTCTGGCATACCGAGGGAAGAGGAGGTTCCTAGAATGACAAAATAAATTTAAACTCGCCCTAGCCGGATCATACCAGAGTCGCTAGTCTCGAGAATGTTAAAGTTTACACTTCAACTCGGCCATCACGGTCTTGTCTCTGCAGGTTTATCACACTCATATTCTGAAGAGTTAGGCTGTTACTGAATATTAAGAATAATATGCTCTGTAAATCGGGAAAATTCCTCTAAATGTTAAATAAATAAAATAAAAGATTTTTCTCCAATAAAATAAAATTTTAAGCAAGTCAAGTTTTCTAAAATTTAATCGTATTGAATATTTTATAGTTGACTGTTGCATTATAAAGGAAGGAGATGGTCCGGGGTTGCGGTCATAAATAGGCTAAATAGTGGTGAAACTATTTTATTGAAAGGCGACGTTTCGACCCGACTTTGCAGGTCTTCATCAGGGCTAGAACGGACAAGATACAAAAAGATAGAGAATTGTGGCAGTTACATAATATTCTGACATAATTTATAAATTATGTGAATAAGCTTATTAAAATTATAAACAGTAAGTACAATAAAATATTAACAAAGTAAGCTGAGTAACAAGATCCTAAACTGAAGTAAATAGATGCTAACCATTGTTGTAGTGTAATATATAATAAATGAAAATGTGAATATACTTCTACAAAATCTACAGGAGAGATTGAAAGAAAAGGAAAAAGGGCCACTATTTACCACTATTTAGCCTATTTATGACCGCAACCCCGGACCATCTCCTTCCTCTAAAATGTAATCAATTGGATAATAAAATACTTTTCAGAAAATTCAATAGACATAAATAAAATTTATAAATAATTAGAAAATTGCTTTAATGTGAGTTTTTCTCTTAACTCCTGAATTATAGTTACATACTTATAATATAATTACAATACCGAATTATCTACCGTACACAGTGAGCGGCTAGAGCCCGATGTACTGATTGCCGTTGTGCGTGACCACCTCGTAGCCTCCATTGGCTTCAGCCTTCAGCTGCGCCAGCTCTTTCATGCCTCTCTGCAGCCGCGCCTCCAGATCCGCCACTTCTTGGGCCATCTTCCTCGTCTCTGCTTCCAGGTATGCCAGGAGTTGCTCCTTCCGCTCCCTATACCTGGCCGAAGCCTGCCTGTTCCTCTCTCTTCTCTTCTCCAGCTTGGACCTGACTGCCTCCTCCTTCGACAGTCTGTGGATGCGAGCTTCTTGGGAGTTCGGTCCGGGTGTCATGGGGTAGATCATAGGTGGTTCCAGTTGATGATACACCGGTCCCTGGTCCGGTTCGTAGAATGGTCCGTACTCCTGTTGGAACGAGGAGCTCTCTGTATTCCAGGTGTCCATCTCCATCGAATCCTGACTGAAGAATGATCTCCCTACCCCTCTCCCCCTTTCTTCAAACTCCTGTGATTAGAATCGTTATCTTTTATCAACCTGATAACAGAAGAGATAAGCCGAGTTTCATTGTCAAAATTTCTTTAATCGTAACTTAATCCGTTTTATTTATCAATGTATCATATTCGCCATTCTAAGAATCGGAGGTTCTATTTATTCAGAACTTGAATTTTACACCTTTTCGGGTAGGGGATTATCTCATCCTATTTCTGAATTTAATTATTTTTATTTTCATTCTTTCAGGAAATCATTTAATCTTAAAGCATTAATATTACTTCTAAGAAGCTTCTTAGATTCTTGAGGTTTAATTTGGATGCATAGAACATTTATTATAATCAAGAAGACTTAGAATATATCCAATTGGAGGCTATTCATAGTGCATTTTCAGTTAAAGATTTATGAATTTACAAATATTTATAACGCAAACTTTCGTTACAAAAATAAACTTACTAAATATGAGATTTTTAAATTATGATGATTTCAGTGATGAATTTACGAATGAAAGGTATTTATATATATTTATGTGTATTTGTATGTATATATAAATATTTGTATATTTATTATATATATTTTTTTATAGGAAATTGCTGCAATTCTCATCTGTTTCGAACGACATCTTGATTGGCAATCGAAGGAGGTGAAAATAAGGTAACTCTAATTTATAATATATATATATATATACATATCTTATTCTAATAATAATTTTGACATGATTCATTTTGCTTCCTCACTACCTAAGATAGGGAAGCATTGTATTCGTGCGAGAGGTTCAAAAAATTTGTGCTCAGAATCGAAAATTTCTACTCGCGTTTTACGTTTCTGACATCAAGGATCAAATTTGGTTCGGTGTCTGTCTGTAGTCAAATCTATGTAACGGACATATCACCTCCTACCGTTCATGCGATTTTCATGAAATTTTCAGGAACTGTGCGGGTTGGTGTCTAGATGGTTCTATATAAATTTCACTAAATTCTAACTAGCACTTCCGCTTATGCCCGCGCAAACGCATTTTTGTAGATATGCCAATATTTCAGAACCAATAGCTCGTTCTATTTGGCTCAAAATAGTATAAAAGGTAGGTAGGTATTTGTGAAAAAATAATATAGGGTCAATTTTATTGAATTCTCTCCGTCGCTTTCTCTAATATATGCTCAAACGTAATTTTTTTTATACGTATATTTCTCTAAAACCGCAAGTTTGATTTGGCTTAAATTTTGAGGGAATTTAGGGATTGGCTGACGTCAAATGAAATAGGCATCAATTTTATCAAATTCTATCTACTATTTCAAATAAAAAAATTTAAAAAAACGGTCTTACCTAAACTTGAAGGAAATTTCGATAACAGTATAGCCAATAACTTAGTATCAATTTCGTTGAATTCCATTTAATAATTAAATTAATATAAGTAATTGTTAACAATATAATGGCTGTTGAAAAATGTTGAAGGCACTGATCATATGGAGTGAGAGAGGTTATTATAATTTTGTTATGGGGTTATAAAATTTTAGGTTTTATTAAAAAATATTAATTTATACTGTATTATTTGATCGATTCCAAACGTTACTGGCATGACACTTATTGCTATTGCTTAGATTTCGTGTAATTTTCAGTCAATTTAAAGTAATTTTTACTCTGAGTTTGAAAAAAAAACCTAGTCTGCAACTGATATAAGTAGTCTGCTACTATGGAAAATAGCAGCTGACAATAAAATATGAAATTATACTAATAAAGCATAAAGAAGTAATGAGTTTTTATGCTCTCTTGTAAAACAATCAATTTTTCCATACGACCTTTTTCACTAACAGTAATGAAATGCATGTTCAGTTAGCATTGGTATTTTTTTTTTCTAATTAAGAATAATCAAATATGGAATCTTCAAATACGACAATCTTTCGCATTTTAATATTAGCTGATAAACGAAATTCGTGGATATCAAACCCGCGAATGTTGAAGGGTACCTGTATTTCCGAATCGGCTTCTCCCAGAGATTTTATTCTCATACGAAAAATTGTATACCTTGTAATATAGATAGATTTTAGACAATAAAAACGGTGAGGAAGCTATACTGACCTTACTCGGCAGACTTTTTTTTTTTTTAAAAAACCTTCTAATTTAGTTTTTTTATTAACTTGTCTAACGTTAATTAAATTGTTATTAAAATTACTTTTTCATAGACAATATAACAATTCTACTTTTTAATAAACATCTGAATTCGATTGAAACTAACGCTTTGTTTTTTCATCAACTCACCGATATTACTTTTAAAATATTTACATTTGAATTTACGAAAGACAATATCTTAATAGTCTACTAATATGTTTTATAGTATTTTGTTAGTAATATTGGAAGGTTAGGAAAAAACAAAATGCTATTTTTATCTTAGTGCTGCTTGAATTCTCACTACGGATGGGATATCGATGGCCCAACAATTGTATTTTCATGGATGTTATAAACATTTTTGAAATATAAATTTTCCAATCCTTATTATTATTATTAAGGCACATCAAAAAATATGTTATTTTCCTCTTTAAATTAATTAATAGAAATATCGACTCTTCTACCGTACTTAGATTTCTTCGACAATTCCTGGCTTAGATTTGAGAAGGTTCTAACTAACAAATTTGAGTCAATTGAGTTTACTAGCAACAAGTGAGAAGGGGTGTAAAAATTTTACACTGATCTATCTTAAGCTTGTTTACGTTGTTTTAGTTTACCGAACAAATCGTACTCAAATTTTTCTTTGATCAATTTTCAGAAAAATAAATCTAGTTCAATTCGTTTTTGTTTCTTGATGGACATATGTAAAGATAAAAAAAAGATAAAAACTTTTCAGAAATAGGTAAAAAGTCGTGTGAGTGGACCAACCAGATTTTTTTTTCTAACGATCAGCGCCATATATAATGCCTAGCGTTTTCCGAAATTTTATTTTAAAATATCAAAGGGACGATATCTATAGTAAATAATATTTAAGTAGATTCTATTGATAGTAAAACATAAGAAGGAAAATATCGACTGTCGGTGGCTATATATTATTCCTGGTTCTCATATATTTTTTCAACTATTCGTGGTTAGATTTTGCTGTCAAACTATACTTAAAATATATGTATATATAGTAAGATAAGCTTTTCTGTTCTGAAAGTTTGAGAAAAAACAGGAGTTAAGTTAATATCCGCGAAAATAACTTAACTCAAAGTGATATGGAAATCTAGCCCATTAGCAATTCAGATTTGATCATCGGACCTCCTGACCACGGGTCGATATAATGCCCAGCAATTTAAATTTATATTTTTGATAAATAACCCGAAATTGAAGCACTAAGATATGGTAAAATTATCACGATATTATAAGGTATCGTGGTCAACAATTTGGGGACAAATGTTCACAAAGTATGTATAATTCCGTTGGCATATAGATTAAATGGAAAACAATGTTAAATAAAATAAAAATATGAACAGTAGAGCTTCGTCTTTAAGCTGATATTTTCTGATAATTTTTGTTTATAAAAAAGTACTTCCCGAATTTCGGCTCGTTTCACCTAATCATTGTGGCTCGAAGCTCTCAATCATACCGTTATATTGTTACAGTTTAATTAGTTAATTATAGTTAGTAAGAGAAAGATATTAGAAGATATTCATGTTGCCTTGCTATTTTAACTGTCTTCGCTTGGGGTTAGCAGACCAGTGCAAAGCGAATGTATATATTAGGGTAAACATTATAATAGCATTCATAATATTTCGACTCGACTCTTGGAGTACCTTTGATGATCTCCGATACATTGCAAAATTAAACTGTTTTAAAGAAAAATATGTCCAAAAAATCTGGCGCGGCGAGCGAAACACACAACTTTCACTTACCACCCACTTCTTAACAGAAATAAGTAATTTCAGACAAAGGTGAAGTGGAAGTAAAAAGTGCTATATTGATTTATATTTCATTGTGGGTATTTTTATTTGTATAAGTACCCTAATATATACAAATTTTAATATTTATATCGCTGTAATCTATATAATTAAATATTAAATAATACCAACAATTGCATTTATGAAAAACGCATATGTATATTTACGTAATATTGTCGGAGTCCGTATTATATTAAGCTGATGTTACGTATGGAAGCGTGTTCTAATCTTTTGGGCGAGCTCGGGTGCTCCCGTATTCTTTGGTTCCTGAATTACAACTATTCTCTGTTACGATCTCTGATTTCTCCTTTAGTTAATTATCTAAATCTTTCATATCTAATATTTAAATATCTTTTATATTAGAGATCAATGTGAAATGGTCAATAGTTTCAAATAAAAAAAATTGAAGGTACTTTAGAGATAGCTAATATTGAAAATTTGCCATTTAAGCCCTGTTAAAGAACAGCAATCAGAATAAAACCTACATTATATTTAAAACTGCTTAATTTTACACTGATATGATGAATTTAATTAAAAATCGTTAGACGTTATTAATCGAAAAAATGTCTTAAGTCTGTGATATAAAGTGCCACTTCCAGTTAGCCAATTTTGACGAAAAAGTTACTGTAACATCCCTATCATATAAAAACCTTAAATATGCAATTTCATTTTCGTACAACGGTTCATTTTTGAGCTACTGTAAACACACACATACACAATTTTACGGAACTTGGTTATTTGGCTGAGTAGACCTCAAAACATGTATTTCCGTAGAAAACTGATATTCAAAAATTTTCAAGATCGTAATACTTTCCTTTACAAGATATTCCATGTATAGGCAAGTGAAAGTAATAAAATAAGACTATTTTTTTAACTTTATTTTTTTCACTTACTCCTGTCAGAAGTTCTGAGTGTGATGTCGAGATGTAGAAGTTAAAATAGGTCTATGGTAGGAGTGAAGGATAGGAGATCCCTTATCCAGCTTCTATTGTGTCTCCTACGGGTAACATCTTGAATGTTTGTTGTGTCCTTGCCTTAAATCAGTGAGTT